GCCACGCGCGCGTCGCATCCTTCAGGGAGAGACAGAGAAGAAGCGAGACAGCGAGAGAGAGAGAGAGAGAGAGAGAGAGAGGGGGAGGGGGCGATCTCGCGTGTAATCGCGATCGTCGCGGCTACTCAATCCCTCTTTCACTCCCCCCCCCCTCCCCCCAAAGGCTGCACTCTAATATCGATTTATTCGTTGGAACAGCGGCTGGTCCGGTCGTTCGCTTTCAGTGATAAACGAGTGGATATATCGGCGCGGTGATGATTTTTGACATGTACACTCATTATACCGTGCGCGCTCGCTCATTATCTCATGATGACAATAATTGCGCATTATTGACGCACCCGCGACCAAACTGTCGGTTTGATCTTCTCAGCCGTGAGAAAAGCGCGCCTCCCCCCGTCGTCGTCGTGATGATATTAATCGGTGATGTCTTTTAATGGAGATTCGCGGCAGTGATCGTTCTTGACGCGCACGCTCGTTGTCCCGTCTGTGTTCACTCGTTAATTCGCCAGGATTGTGCTTTGTTCGTCGTCTGCTCCCCCCCCCCCCATCAAACTGTCCTTCTGAGAGCTTCTTGGTAATCGGCAAACGACGTGAAACGCCGTCGTGAAAGAGTGCGCGAATCGGTCGTATTTTATAATCGAAATTCGGGGCAGTGATTGCTTTTTACGTCGCCTCTTTTGTTTCGCTCATATTAATAATAATAATAATAATAATAATAATAATGATAATCGTAGCCGCGCATGTCTTCAAATAATCTATTCATCTTACGCGCGCGAAGCGAATCACTCACGTGTTGTAACAAAAATCGCGCGCGGAATCGCGAGCTCCGGCGGGGGCGGGGGCGGGGGGAGAGGACCGGAAGTTTTGCGCGGAGTTTCCAAATTGTGTTTCTGTAATGAATTATCGCATTAATGAAACGACACTTTGGTATCCCGGAAATTTGATATATAAATTCGCGCGCGCGCTCGCTCGCTCGCGATATTAATTTTTAAACAGGACCATTTGCATAGATACGTTGAACGTACAAATGTATGTTTCTTGCAAACATCGTTTCGCGCTCTCACAAAAGGAAGGCACTCCATATTCCATTTGCAAGTTATTAAATTCCACGTGATTTTGCGCGTTTTATTTGGCGCGCGTGTATTTACATTGACCCGTTCCCTGCAACGAGATGACAAGTGATTAAAATCGAGGTACTTTTAATGACTGCATTTTTACCATGCGCGACGCGTTCAAAATAACGCAACGGAAACTAATGAGAGAGAGAGAGAGAGAGAGAGAGAGAGAGAGAGAGAGAGAGAGAGAAAGAGAGGGCGACAGAGCAGGAGAGGAACGGGGGAGAAGGCAAGGCAGGTAAATATCTCCATGAATTTCACATCTGCCGCGCGATACGCGCGGATAAATCGAATTAAAAGCGCAGTGTCGAACGAAAGCACACAGAGTGCGTTCAATCGCTCTTCTAGCACGTATAAGACAGAAGGAGAGGAAACGGAACGAACAAGCCGTCCCCTCGTTTCCGAAGTCAGGGACTCACGCCCTCGCATGTTCCAGCCCTCGCGCTCCAGCCGCTTCCGCGACGCGGAAACGGAATTGAACGCATGCGCGGCCCCTTCGCAGCGAAACTTCTCCCCGCTCGTTCTCTCTCTCTCTCTCTCTCTCTCTCTCTCTCTCTCTCTCTCGTTGCCGGCCGACGCCGCGTGGCGGCCGGCGACGCAACTCGCGCGCGCGTGCTTGTCAGCCCGGCGATTACTTACTCCGGCGGACGCAACGAGGTGTAAAACTCTCGCCGTCGCGCGGCGGCTCTTACTCAGCTCCGGCCGTCCGCTCGATTTGCGTCTCTAACGAGACGCGGACTCACCCGGATGCCGTGCGTGCGTGCGTGCGCGCGTGCGTGCGTGCGTCCGTCCCGATTGCACAGCCGCGGCCGAGTGTACACCTAACTACAGCTGACGTGTACAAGGTGCGCCGAGTCGGCCGGGAAAGGCCTCCGAGGCAGATTCTTCGCTCGAGAATTCGGGGAATGGACGAGGAAACGTTCGCCGTGTTCCCGTCCGATCTGTTTGTGTCGTTTGCGCGATTATGCTAATTTCAGGTCGACCCGACGCCCAACCGGAGATCCAGCTCGAGATTTCCTCGGCGGGGGAGAAAGTTGGCACGAAGAGCCGCGGGGAGGCTCTTCTCTCGCGATTGATTGGCGCCGAGCGGCGTCGGGCATTGATAGACGAGAATCCCCGTCGACCGATATCAGCGGAATTAAACAAACGCGTTCCTCGCGAGAATCGTCGTTCAACGCACGCGATGATCGTTCCAGCCGATTATCCTTCCATCGAAAACATTATATTCTTGATATAAGAAAATGTTATACCTTTTAAGCTTTCTTAACAAATATTCTCAATCTATAAGAATATTTTCTTCTTCTTATCGATATGTCTAGAATACATACTAAAATTAAGAATATACTCTTTTGTGACTCGATCGGTCATTAAGAAGAAGAATATACTCTTTTATGACGCGATCGGTCATTAAGAAGGAAGCACGCATACATCTTACATAAAGGCATAATACACAATAAGGAAAGGAACCAATCAGAATCCTCATTTCTATTGCCACGTTTGAGGTGAAAGATTGATTAGTTCATTTCCTTATGCGTTGTGCATTACGTCTCTATGAGCAAGAGTGTGCTTTTCTTTTATCTCAGAAACAGCTTTCGCAGTATAATTATATGCGATAGATCAAAGGCAAATAAAAACCAACATTGAAGTCGGATTGCAACGTTAAAATTGCATTAAAAAATGTAGCATTGCAAGAGATTAATTAATTAAATATTACAAATTGGTCATTAGAATCAGTTCGACGCAGAAAGTGTATACACGGTGAATCAACTTCCCGTGTCCCGAGCAGACTCTGATTCCTAATTTTTAATATTAAATTAATTAACCCCCCTTAATTTTCTGCGACACTACATTTTTTAATTTCACTTTAAAGTTGCGATCTGATAGCAGCGTTGGCTTTTACTTACTTCGATCTATCGTATATGGTTGCATTAATATTTATATACATTAAGAATATCCGTTAAGATTATTTCTTAAGAATATCTGGTACCGACACATTCTTAAGAAGATTCTTCTCTTAAGTTGAGAAGATGTTCTTGGTGCTTATTTTAGAAGAAATTATCCTAAACATAAGTGGGAAATTCCTCAAAATAGGGATACAATTTTGTCGGTGTCCATTTGATCGATCACGCGCCGCTCTCGACGCCGAGTCTCGTCGGTCGATTAAATTATACTCATAATTGCTCACGGTTACGTGCCGGCCGAGTTTGTTTGTTGACTCTTGATCGACCGATGCCCGACACCGCCGCCGCGCCGCTCGCGAGAAACGCGAGGATCTCCGGAGGAGGATTCGTCGGAGAATTCCTCGCGCAGCGCTTCCCGGTCGAGCCGGGCCACCCTGTAGATATCCGCCGATATCCGCCGCCGTCCCCGCAGAGGGATGACGGCGACGATATCGATCGCTTTTGACGTGTGTGTACAGTTAGTCAGTAGTGATCCTCGGCGTGTGGTGTACGTAGCTTGTGTAACTAATTTGTGTTTATGTAGCGAGTAACACCCCACTACTTCTCCCCCGTGTGTCGGTTCGATTCACTAATCACTAATAACCACTACTACTACCCCGGCTTGTTGTTGTTGAGGCTCTCGCAACCCTATCGACCAGCGATCGCAATAGCCTGCGGCCTATCGCGTAAGTATTCAAGATCTGTCAAAAGTATGTAGCTTACTCTGTCGCGTTCCATGTCGTTCTTCTATCACACTCGCGATATTAATTCGTATCGATTCTTTCTTTTCTCTTTTTATTTAATACCGTAATACTTTTTTCTCTCTTTTCCTCTCCCTCCCTCCCTCCCTCTCTCTCTCTCTCTCTCTCTCTCTCTCTCTCTCTCTCTCTCTCTCTCTCTCTCTCTCATGTCCTTCGTTCGCGCCTCCCCATCCCCCTCTCTCTTTCTCTTCCGCGCGAGGCATTTTCCAGGTCGACGGACATTTTAATTGCAATTAATGAATCTAATAAAGAGAAAGAGAGCGCGCGCGCACGAGAGAGAGAGAGAGAGAAAGAGAGAGTGAGCATTGAATATCTCGGATAAAATTCAGCCGTTCGATTTGATTTGTCTCTGTCCTATTTTATTTATTAATACAAATTTTGTTAACATGCGAATTACTGCAAACACCGAAAATTATTGCAAAGTGGTCCTCGCGGATATCGATAAATAATATTTCCAAGTGCCTTGCACATTTTCGCGTTTGGTTTGAATTGAAAGCTTCCGCCGTCCTATGAAATATACAAAATTGTCAATCCTCGGTAATGAATGAGTCATCGATTAATGGCGCGTTTTTCAACAATTCCGTTCCGTTTGAGAATCAACAAGAGACACATACACACAGAGAGAGAGAGAGAGAGAGAGAGAGAGAGAAAGAAAGAGAGACCTTAGCAATCCCCAGTTTTCTACTAAATTTGAGCCCACTAACGAATCCCACTCCTCATAGTCGTGAGTCGCATGAGTATTAGTAGTCGTTTTCTATGTGTCACCGAGTGAACACTGATACTTGTGTAGATCATCACGTGTGTTCGATTGTGTAGCGCAGAGTGCGGCGGGCACGATCTTGGCAGCCGGAGCGGAGTCAATCGGTCAGAGGAGAGAAGAGAAGAAAAAGGAGAGATGCGATCACAGTTGGGCGACTGACGCGCGTCAGCGTTCCATGCAGACTGATCCCCCCTCCCGACGGGGTTGCCAAGATCGAGCGCCGTCTCACCGCGACCGTAGATCTCGAGGCACCACCCGTCCCCTCCTCCTCTCCATCCCGTCTAACGCGAGAGAAGACAGATATGAACTCGCTTCGTCGTCGGAGCGACGAGAGAAAAGCAAGCGCGAAAACAAAGAGAATCAAACAAAATCGACAGCGCACATGGAGGACCTGGTTGGATCTGACCTTGCAGTGTCATTGTAG